TAAAGAACTTTGAATTGGTAAAAAAATAGAGGGAATGACCACATTTGCATGTGCAGCTTCTGCGACTTTCCCAGCATTGTGACCAACGGGCACACTCGAACAGCTAGGAGGAAAGGCGGACACACAATGTCACGAACTTTTTACTTAATTCAAACAACTCGTTCCTTGTCTCCATGAAAAGCTTATAAAGTTCAATATCCTACTTTTTACACTCAGGACATGACCAACATAATATTTTCGAAAAATCTGCGACTGCATTTGTAGCATGGACAGTGGGACTTGCACACTTCGCGTGACAAAACCGCTGGCAAAGGCAACAAGTAATACATTGCTCAGAATCAGGGCCTGTTTTGGTTCGACATGATGTATATAAAAACTCCATGTCAGAAAGCGAGAGACAAAATAGAGTTTGTGAAAAAAGAAAAACTAAAAAAGTTTGTCACGTATTCAAAAATGAAATGTTTGAAAGCAACAACACGCAAAAAACAGGATTGCTTTTTTGATAAGAGCACCAAATGCTAGTCGCCAAATCCAAAATGACTATCAACATAAAAAGTTCAGTGTAATTCAATTATTATTATTATTATTATTATTAGAAATTTAGCCAGAGAATAAATTCCAAGGCTAAAGTCTTAAAGCACTAGCATCTAAGGCTTTCGGCTTTGTTAAAAACTCTACCGCACTTGGGATTCGAACCCACGGCCATTGAGTTGATACTCGAGACTCTTGCCTACTCGACCACTCAGGCGGATCAGCATAATTCAATAAATGTAAACAGTTTTATGATTAATTAGGCTTCAAAAGCGTATAAAGCAATGAAGCAATAAAATAAAAAAAAGAAATTGCAAAATTTCTACACCAAGTAAAATAGTACGACCGGAGCGCGCACACAGGGCTACCAAACTGTGCGCTCAAAATAGAATTTTCGCTCTCTACCACTTGTAACTTTCTTAATTATGTTTCCAAGAAAATACAGTCGATTCAAAACAAGCTGGTCTCTCCCCTCTAGAACCGGTTCCTTTGCTTAGATTCATTTCTGATACCCGTCTTTTACCGCTAAAAGAATTTTGAAAGTCTAAACCATCAGGCCCTCTTTTTCAGATGATAGTCTTAAGGGCAGGTAGGGTTTCCAGCTAGTACACAAGTTGTTATTTAAAATTTCATGGTACTTTTGATAAAGCCAGCTCTATCTCAGTTTGGAGCTCCTTACAAAGTATACGTAGATCTTAATATATCTTAATAGATCTTAATAGTATATATAGATCTTAATCCTTTTCCATCAATAGTCAGCACAAAGGAATTTTCCACAATTGGGTCTTCAGGCTTCGTGTCAGGAACGACTTCGTTTTTACCAAAACAGCGATTTCATAATTTATGGTACTGATGGCTGGGTTGATCCGGGAATATCAGATTTCACTGTGCTTAAGTACTCCTTGGAACTATTTGGAAAATTTTAAATTCTGGAAGAGCTTTTTTCAACGTTTATTGAACTTCTAGCCATCATTTTGCCATATCAAATGCTACCAAAAGATTAGTGGTTTTTTCTTACAGCAAACCGGCCCCAACTCTAATTAAGAAAACCGTTCTCACCATATGTACGTACTTGAAATTCATATGTTAACTATCCCTGATATTGATACACGTCACCTTGTCTGGATTCTAGGTAATCGCGACTTTCGTTGAAATGAAAATTCCGATCTTTATGCTCGTGAAGCTCGGCTAGATAGAAAAACTCTCTCAATAAAATATCGTCTCAAAGACGCCTTACGTCTAATTCATTTAACATTCTTGATGTCTTATAATAAACGTTATGAAATATTTCGCGCTCGTACTACCATTATTAAAACTGCTGACTTCTCTTTTCATCATAACCATGATAACCATATTTCAATGTTTTGTCTTGTCTAATCATATTTCTAATGCTTTTTATAATTTCATAAATCAATACATGTTACGCAGTCATAGCTTGATATCAATCTTCTGGACTAAACTCTAGAACGGACACTACTGAGCTGACTTGTACAACTCGAATACCGTCCAATAGAGAGAGATAATCATCACTCTATCGTCAACAAATCACTTTGAATCGCAATGTCATCGGCATCACCTTTTTGCTCCGTTAGCATCATTTTCGTGTTTATTATCCAAAAAAAAAAAAAAAATAAATATGATTAATATTAAAAGAGTATGGAGTTCATTTATCAATCAAAATATTTAATACGTATATACTGTAGTACATATAGAGTGTTCCCAATTTGACACCTTTTGTGCTGCAAAGTGTTTGCAGCTCAAAAAAACAAAAGAAGCAGTTTGACAGCTGACAGTTTAGGGTTAATAAAAATGGAGCATTGCACACAAGAGGAACACGTTTTCATTATTAAACAATATTTCAAAAATAATGAAAAGTTTGACCATATTTTTTTGTAATATGAGACTGGTCAAGCAATGATTTTTAATGATGCCCGATATCGCGCTATGGTAAGCCAGTTGTTTCTGCCCAAATTGCATGATATTGACGTCAACGACCTGTGTGGTTTCAACAAGACATTGCCATATGCCACATATCCCGTGAAACAACTCAGTATGGGTCATTGTTTGGTCGTGGACTTCCTCGTTTCGGTAATTTGAACTTCGATAAAGCAGTGCGTATAGGCCAGCAAAGCCGGCCATTTTCCCGATATGGCGCGACAAACATAACCCCGTCATATATACTTCATAATTCAGTTAAAAAAAAATCAACTGTCTTTTATTTAAATCAAATCTTGCGCAAATTTCAGGACAACGCCTAGAGGAGAAAGAAAGTCTTTAGCAATATACGCCTTCGTGCTGATTTTTTAATTATTGTTTTGCAACATTATGCAAATGGTATATATTAGGTCATATTGAAAATTGTCGCTGATTTTTTCCGCGGGATCGTGTGATGGCCTTCATATCGGCCAACACTCATCTGATTGTCTCAAACAAACAAGCGCTTAAAAGGTGACATTTCAGTTTACATTCAGCTTTCTAATTCTTTGTAAAAAGTTATATTTATTTGAAAATGAGCGAAATATCTGAAGAAGTACACTATGTGATACTATAAAAAAACTAACAACGCTGCCAAAAAAATTTGTGAAGTGTACGGTAAGAATGCTGTGAGTGCTGGCTACAAAAAAAAAGCTCGAAATCACGAAAAGAACCAAACAGGCTTTTCCATATGACCCATTGTATGAATGACGACCACATTCGTGTCTAATGAATACTACCAGACTTAATTACATTGCTTTTTATCTAATATATCGAAATTAAAGACAAAAATAATAAAATGCAAAGTATTGCGTTAAGGAAAAACTTGTAGCGTTTTTTCAAAAATTCAAACACATTTTTTTTTTATATTTAATGTGACCTTCATTAAAACAGACATATGCGATTTTCGTCGACAATCTTCTTTCACTTTCCTAATAAAATCTGATTATGCTACCACTATAGCACTTCTGAGATTTGTAGGCGAAAAACCAAATCAACTGATTTTTATAGATCGCTTTTGAAAATTCACTGTTGCATCATTTATGGCTTTTTGCAAAAAATGAGGACAGGTCACGGTCAGGACTGCACAGTAGATACATCAAAACGTTCAAATCACATTCTCACAAATTTTGCGAGTCATTGAAAAGTGGCCGTGGTTTGACATTGTTATAATGAAACACGACAACTTTTTTTCTAATCAATTCTGGACAGCTTGGAGAATCGATTATCAATTGGAGCAGCGTTTAACGCACGACCCGTTTGCTATCCCATCAAATATGGCCTTAACTTGCGTCAAGCAAGTCCGGACTTTGCCATAATTTGTGCAATTTCATCCACCTTAGACCCACGATTTTTCCGCAGTCACACGCGATTTTTGTAGTCACACGCGACTTACCCTTCTACTCATTTCGGCTACGTTTCGAAGATAGAAATTCTGTAGATAAGTCTTTCATCAAGTCGCAAATGCTCCAAAGCATAGTCAAGACAATATTCACGATGAATTTTCAAATGCCGCTAGCAAATATTTAACCTAAATTCATTACTTTAGAATGGAATTATCTTAAAATTTTTGACTATTTTATGAGCTTGTTTTTCATTTACATTGATACGGTGGGCATGTTTGTGGATGAATTCAATTTGTTGCCAAATTTAATTTTCTACATTAACCGGATAAGGTATTATGTTTCGATTTTTATGGTTGTAGGAATGATAAGAACATACACAGACGGACATGAGAATATCGGGTGAGATAATTAAATAAATATTTACATAAAGTTTTTAGGAATTTTAAGGGAAAATATCTTCAAGTAATGTAAAATGTAAATGAAGAAAATCAGAAAATCCTAACGTTTGCGAATATAAAAATCATCTTAAAATGTTTATTTCTAATCGGACTTTCTAGTATCTCTAAAGTAAAACTAGAAATGTTTCGGTAGTTAAGGCAAAAACTATTTATTAAAAAATTTTTCATCAAAATATTTAAAAAAAATTTTTTTTTAAAAAAATATTTTTCCATAACTTTACCAAAAGCCAAACCACTATCAGCTTGTATATTAGGGTATAATGTACGTGGGTCACTCAAGTATATTTAGAACAATTATGTCAACTCAATGGCTTGATAAGAATAAATATATTACAAATATATTTCGCGAATATAAATAAATGTATATTAAGATGTAAAGTAATACAAATTTCATCTGCGACATATGCCCACAATTTGATAAGTAAAAAATACAATTAAGGTTAATTGATTAACTTTCTTCGCATTCAAGTACTATCTTATCATTGAGCAAAGCTCTCTAATGGCTGTGCATAGAAAAATTTCGATAAAGCGAAATGTTTTCACATTGTGAACTATGATATCTTTCTAGTTTCAATTCTCATATAAACCATTTAATACAAAAAAATGTCTAAGGTGCTAGTGAAAAACATAAATATTTTTCTATGTAAAATACATAAATGCAAATTTTTTAAATATGTTATCTTAATTTTAGATTAACTCCAAATACAGCGAAGAATTGGCTCAAGAATGTCTGGAATGGATAAAAAACATAACCGGCGAACCTATTAATGCATCTGGCGATATGGATAACTTCTTCGAAGTCTTAAAAGATGGTGTTTTACTTTGTAAATTGGCCAATTGCTTACAACCTGGTGTGATTAAGAAAATTAACGAAAGCAAAATGGCCTTCAAATGCATGGAAAATATATCTGGTAAAATGAAATTATGGAATTATGGAAATAAGTAAAAAAACTATATTCGAGGCTTACGAGCGAATCTCGGTTACTTAATGTCATAAACAAGTTCTCATCATCATACTCATTATTATTATTACTATTATCATACTTATTATTATTATTAGTACTGCAGATATTACGTATGTAGCCATTTTATATACGATGCGAGTCAATCTTGCCCATTCATTGTCATTTTCAGTTCTTTATTTCAATTCTTCCCTTAATGACAACAGAAGAAACAATATGAATCAGGCAAATAGTGAAGGGCACTAAAACGACTCAGAATCTCAACCTGCATCATTTTCCAGTCTTGTCTCTTAATTGTTGAGACTTTTAAAACGGCAAAACATCAGAGGGAAAAAAATTACCTTACATTTGTTTAAATTAGTTTAATCAGTTTAATAGTTTTATATACATCCCACTTATATCTTTACTTATCACAAACGAAATAACATTTGCTTACCTCTTGATAGTATACGAGCACTTCAAAATGAAATCAACTTACTCAAACTTTAGAGATATTTATTTATATTTATTTATTTATCTTTTTTTAATGTTTTCAGCCTTTTTGGAGTGTGCCAAAAATTTCGGTGTTCCTACACAGGAAACATTCCAGAGTGTAGACCTTTGGGAGAGACAAAATTTGAATTCGGTTGTTATTTGCTTACAATCTTTAGGTCGTAAGGTATATGTTATCAGTTATTGCTCTTAACGTAACATAATTAAATTATTACACTTTTTTTATAGGCTCATCACTTTGGCAAACCGTCAATTGGTCCAAAGGAAGCCGATAAAAATGTGCGTCACTTTACCGAAGAACAATTACGGGCTGGCCAAAACGTCATCTCATTACAATACGGCTCAAATAAAGGCGCCAATCAATCTGGCATTAACTTCGGCAACACCAGGCACATGTGAAACTATACATCATTCTCAAGTCATTTCTTTATAATCCTTTTTGAAGCAAAGAACATAAAACAACATATTGATATACAATTAATTACCTTATTAAAGTTAGTTAAATGAAGACATTCCACGTCGTTAATATATTTCTAAAAACTTGCATTCCCCTCTTTTTTAATATACATCAATTAGGTAAAACTATTTGGCGTAGCGTTATAACAAACAATAATAAATCCTTTTAATTGTTTAGTACCTAAATACAGAAAATGTGTGAATTTTGCTCTTTATTCATATAAACGATTTTTACTATTTATATATATATAATTTTTTTTTTTTTGTATTAAACCATTTTTTGAATCTATTAAAAGAAAGTATCGTTCTTACTTTTTATTTTATTATTTTATTTATTTGACACAATAGTAACGTAAACAACGCAACCCTTAATAACTCTCTAACTAATTGGCACTAAGTTAGCTTTTAAGACCTTACATCTATCAAAACACACACACATAATATTTGTATGCAAACGTAAATAGATATACCTATTAAAATGTGCCATTTTACTACACCTTGGATTATAGCATTTAAATTTATGAATGAACATTCGATTTTTTTAAATGTCCTTATATATCTGCCTTTACAAGTACCGGCTAAGAGAGAATAAAACGAGTGACGAACATTCCCTTATTTGAAATAGATCTTTACGTTTCAATAAATTTTGTATACAATTTTGGACAATAAACATATTCTTATATTAAAAAAACACACTAATCATCAGTTTTATTTCTTGAATATAACGATGACAATATAGCTCTTATATGTGGCTTGCCACGTGTATCCCTAGTCGTCCCACTTCACACTAGTTAATTTTAGTTTTCATTATTTTGTGCTATTGTAGGTTTATAACCATTGAATTATCAAAAAAAAAATGTTAAGCATAATTTTAGACTTTCTACTTATAAAAAGACAACAAGTAATCAGACGTTTATTTTGAAACTGGTCTCTCCATTTATATTAAATTCAAAATATTTGAAACTTTGTGTTTTAATAAATTTAAAAATGTTAGCAGTAATATATTTTTGGATTTCTAATTCCAAAGACCGTAGACTTTTTCCAATTCTTTTTTTTACTATCACCAATCACTCAGGGAATATGGTGCAATAAATCCATGAAATCGTTGTCGTCCACTCAAAACTATCAAAATGCAACTTAAGTAATTTTCAAAATAAACATTTTATCATTTTATTAAAACGAAAATTATCATCATACGTTATCTTAGTGATTTTAAATGTATTAATTTATTCTTCAAAATGAAAAGATTGCATAGAAATGTAAATTTTACAATAGCTATCTTATAAATCGTTATTGAAAAATTAAAATTTAAAGAACAAAAAATAATTTTAAACACCATTAACACTCACTTAAAGTTTATATATATTATTTACTTGCAATATTGAATAAAAGTCCAATCGCTTGGTGAAATTATGACATATACCAGATCAAGTCTTTGTTCCAGTTAGCGACCATTTGCAGGTACACGTAAGAGATATACTCCGACTTTTTTAGAAGGTAGAAACATCACAAAGCTTAAGACCGTAACTTAAGAAAGAAAGCAAAAGGGTCATCGTTCCTTGATAAATCCACGTTTCGAAATTAAGTTGGCTAGAGTGTGAAAGAAATTCCTGCAAACAAAGTTCAACAGACAAAATAAACAGACATAAATTTCCATATTAATTCCACTTGTCACGCTGATAAAGAATACTTACCCGTTACCCTTTCACTCTAGTGGGCATGAAAAGTGATGTCTGCCTTTAAGTTAGTCTTAGTTATCCACTGGCCAAACTACCTAATTAATTGAGTATTTGTGTCACTTAAGTTTCTCTTTTTTTAATTATTTCGTTTTGCTAAACGTGGTCACCTGCGTTTGTAAAACAATGTATAATAGAAAGGAACAAATATAAATCAAAAAAAAAGTATTCCAACCCATTCGCTACCCAAACGAGAATGATTTCTCCGGATTTTTCTGGCATTCATAAGTTACTAAAGTCGTGAGATAGGCTTTTTGTTGAAATTGCAATGCAGAACAGCAAAAATAATAAGAATCCACAACTCTAACTCTGTAACTTATAACAACTTAAAAAATGTATATAAAGCTATTTAATGTTGCTTTTTCAAAAAGTTTTTGACCGAAAAATTTTGCTTTTAACCATGGAGAAAAGAGTGAAATAGTTAAAAAATTTTTTGCTTATATTATATAATAACGTATTAAAAATGAATTCAAATACTATTTTGGATTTTGCTTATTTAATACTTAAACAAATAGTATTTCGATTTTAAAATATATGAAAAATAATATAATTCTTATATATTACATAATTTTAAGTTGTAAGCAAATATAAGTTATAACTAAAAGCTACAAAACTTATTAAAAAGTAAATAATACATTAACGTACATATACAATGCGTAAATACCTTACGGACGGGTGAGTTCGGCAGGCGGGTCCTCTATCATTCTCATATATCTGAACTGTCCTGTCTTCCTCTCCAATCGCTTCACCGTGTAGCTCCATTAGAGGTACTATAAATTTCGATTATCATCATTTCGATCATCGTCATATGTTTCGCGGTTTAGCGGTGTTTCTGAGATCAGTGAAACCTTAAGTTAACAAGCCAGACCACAGTAACCTCCTTACTCGAGCTGAATATATTTTCTTAACCCGCCTTAGAAAAAATAAGACTTTACTCGGTACTAAACATTATTATGAAAATATTGAACTTGCGTATATTTTAATGTCCCTCTTTTTGCCGACCGATTCGCCTCTATTGAAAATTAGCGAGCTCTTTGAGAAGTACCGACATGACTCCAACAATTCGCCTTTCTCTTAGAGCACACGAGGCTCCGTGACACATAGATTGTACTCAACTTATTCCTTCAATTTCCACAGCTACTCAGTGTACGTATATATAAATAGCTGAAATAGTTGAAGAGAAATAAAATAAAAATTCGGACTTTCCGGTTTTGCCAATCAGTAACAAAAAATATGTTGTTATTTCTTCAACTAATGCCAGCATTCACAAATCAGTCCTTTCGCTATAAAAAAGCCTTGGATGGCATACATATATAAACTCGATTTTATGCGATGGTAAGTTACTTGTCCACGCTGGGAACCCGCGCGCAACAGAAAATGCCATAAAGTCGAAATGTTTAGCAAATTTATGTCCAATTTCCGCTAAAGTACATGACAAACTTAACTCAGTTAGAGGCGTAATTTATGCCCCGTGCTTAAAACATGTACCGGACGACGAAATAGTTCGTGAAATGGGCAGTCAAGGAGTTACTGAAGTTTATAAATTTACTAAATTAAACGACGACAGAAAAAGTCGCTCTCCTACAGGAAGGATAATTATGACCTTTGATCGCTATCTGTTACCGCTGTTGATGTGGCTTGGTACAAATGCAAAGTGCAACTCTATGTTCCAAATGCCCGGAGGTGCAAAAACTGCTATCGCCTGGGTCATACGGCAAAAATGTGCAGCAGTGCTACATCTTGTGCTAACTGTGGTCTTCCTCCACATGCTGAAAGCTGCACCCGTAGGTTCTGCTTAAATTGCAATAATCAACACTCGGCGTTAGACAAGCAATGCCCACGTTTTATACAAATGTGTGAAATTCTAAAAATCAAAACAGGAAATTTACTGTAGCATGGGCGAAACGCGACGCAAGTACCGGGAAATTAATCCATCTGGAACCCAAAAAATTAACAAAAGTAATACTTACGATGCTCTCGCCTCGCAAATCGAGCCTAATAAGCTTTTAACTCCAACTCCTTCCAACGAAAAACTTGCTCTACCATCAAACAAAAATTATATTGCGAAACCAGTTCCACCACCTGTCAAAGATAATATCGAAAAAATCAAAACAACAGCAAATATTGAAAAAATTAAGACAACAAAACGTATCGTTAAATCTAATAAATTAAATTCCCCAGAATCAACAGCTCTCAACTCTAGTCAACAAATTACAAGTTGTAATGAATCCAATCTTTCATTCCTTAATCAATCTTCAATTTTAAATTATTCCCGTGTGCCTACTCGTTGCACTTCAAATGTACGCAACCACTTAAGTACAGATTATTCTGCTGGTAATTACAAATTATTCAAGCAAAATTCCTATAGCGATGTTTTCGACGGAGACCCTGACATGTCAACTTAAGCCACCTATCAGTCCGTTTCCATGTCACTACAATTAATTAAAACTTTTAAAATTCTACAATAGAACATTAAGGGACTTATCAATAATTTTTATGAACTCCGTACGCTCATAAATGATTTTAATCGAACGTTTATATCGCTTCAAGAGACCCATTGTAGAAGCTCTTTTAGTCCTATTCCACCCAAATCATATACTGGATACTTCACGAATGCTGATCAAAATTCATATTCCAAACAAGGAGTTGGTGTTTTTATAGCATTAAGTATACCTCACAAACGCATAAATTTAAGCTCGTACATACAAGCCGTAGCGATATAAATAAGCTTAAACATAAAATTTACAGTGCTTTCGCTCTATATCCCACATTCGCAATCGTTTTCATAACTAGAACGCTACAATTTATTCTCTCCAACCAAACGATCAGTGCTCTGTCCACTTCAAGTAAAAAGAAATTACTGGACCTATATAATACACTATTTTTGACTGGCCATATACCCTACATGTGGAAACTAGCAGCTGTTGTTCCAATTCCAAAGTCAAAAATATCTCCACCTAATCGGATTATCGCCCAATCTCTCTTTTATCTTGTCTCTCAAAGGTATTGGAAAAGATTATGGCACCTAGATTATCTTAGTTTCTTGAGTCCAAGAACCTGATAACAAAGCAAAGTTGGTTTTAAGCGGGATAGAGGGTTCATCGACGCTCTTTTACATATTGATTATTTTACAAGCAAGGCAATTTCCGAACCGAATCATGTAACAATTCTTTCAATTAATTTCGAAAAAGCATTTGATAGAGTTGGCCTTCATGTTATTTTAAAACTCTTGAAATCATGAAATGTTGGATCCAAATTCTTCAACTATATCAAATCATTCACGTCGCATCGGCGGTTTAAAGTTAGACTCAACAATCACCTCTCTGATTACTTTTCTCTTTCTGTTACACTTTTTCAGATTGTGTTTAACGAAATTATCAAAATTCTTTGCCGTGTACCGAGAATCGAAAATTGTCTTTATGCGGACGATGTATCCATTTTTACAAACTCGTCAGGAGCTAAAATTACCATGCAAAAATTAAAAACAAAGCAGGGAATCTACTGATGCATATTAATGACTTACCAGTACAAAACGTGCAGACGCTGCATATTCTCGGGCTCACGTTTTCCAACGAAAATCGTTGGGAAGCACACTGTCTTCGGTTAAAAAATTCTATTTTAACAAGGGTAAATTTCATACAGTACGTTGCTTGGAAAAGCCATACGCACATTAACACTATTGCTTACCTCGCCAAAATGTTTGTTTTGAGCAAAATTGACTATGCTTTGATAATTTATGGCAATAGCTGCAAATCTAATATCAAAATCCTTAAACCGGTCTATCACCAAGGCGTCAAAGTAAGTTGTTATGCTTTTCGGACGACGCCCATAAATAATAAATAATATTATAATCGAAACTGGTCTCCCAACTTTAGAAAATAGACTTAATGAGTTAAAAACCAAAATAGTCCACAATTCAAACAAATCTATTCTCGGTGATGACATGAGAAAGATTATTATTGCCAAGAAAATTCAAAAGTCACCATCTGCAATTGACTCTTTTTTATACGTCGCAAAGGAATTGGACATTCCCTTAAAAATATTCCGTTATTTTGGTGTTAAACCTCCATGGATTTTAAATGACTAATCTTTTGACATCTCGCTATCTATGCAGAAGAAAGAAGATACTCCAAATTATGTCTTCAAGGATCTAATAGCTACAAAACCCAAGTACTGGAGAGTAACGGTTAAAATCTTTTATACACAAACGGCTCAAAATCTTCTAGTCT